GAGGTTCGCAGCCGTCTTCTGCGCCGCGCTGGGCGCGGGGCTGTTGACAGGGGCACAGGGCTGCATGGACTGCACTAGACCCGGGATTCCCGGGACAGAAGGGGACCTAGAGGGTTTACTGTAGGGGCCAAAATTGCCTGTACTATTTTGGGGGCTCCTTATTATGATCAGGGTATAATGGGCCCCAAAACTTTATTCTAATTATTGAGGCCTCCATATTAGGGTTTGAGGGGTTTGGTAGGCATTGGGCTTTAGGAGCTTGGGGGTGTGGAGCCGTGGAGGGCTTCTTGGGGCCTCATTGCTTCAGAGCTCCGGGCTGGGATTTTGGGTCGCATAGATCCCAACCCTGTAACCCGCTGCCCCTGCTGTATTGAAGGAACTGCAAACCTCGCCCCCCCCCCCTTCCCCCCTTCACAAACAAAGGAAGAATAAGTGCACATATATGTGCATGTACAAAAAAATATGCTCACGCCAAAACGTCCTAACCCCGGAAATCATCCCCGGCCAACCGTTGCAAGCACGAGCCAACACCCGCAGTGCCCCAAGCTTTAAAGCTCCAACTGCATCCCAGCCCCCAACCCTAGCTGCGAACCAAAGCTAAACCCTAAACCCTAAACCCTGAGCTTCACCTTCAAGAGGCCTTGAGCCCTAACACCCGACCATGAACTGAGGTTTGAACTTAAACTCGGTCAACGCGACCGCGAAGCAAGAAAGGAGAGGGTTCAGGGCGTCTGGGGTTTCGGGCGTTCTTGGACTCATGGGTTGGTTTACTGGTGTTGGTTGTTTTCGGTTTTCTGAATAGCCTCGTAGGCTTGCAGGAGTTTGTTTGTAGGAGATTCAGGAAGCCAGCGATCCGAATATGAATCATTTCTAGCAGGCTCCTGTTTTCTAGGATGGAGCCCCGAGCATGGCCCTTACGCTGGCGAAGCTCTGGGGACTTATGCCACGTACCGCCATATGCCCTCCACTGCTTTTGGGTTTCAAGTCGAGTTGCAGGCCTTCTTGAATGACTTACTCAGCGACTAGTGAGTGTGTTGATGTTCTTTGAGTTTAAAGTTCAGAGCAAGGCTTCCTGAGACTTGAACAGAAGGAAGCGGCAAAGTACAAAGCCCGAAAAAGACCACAAATTGCGTCAGCAACAGAATGCCTCCTGTGGGGATGTTTGTTACCACAGACAAGTCCTAAACCCTACACGCCAAATGATAGCTCCGAGACGGTACGAATCTCCACAAGCCTTCCTGCGCCTGCGAACGATCGCAACGAGCCCCACGAGAACGACGAAACCTCTGTATTATGATTGGGATACTTAGCAATCATATCCCCGTCTAGTCCCAGTCATAAGTATAAAGTTATAGTATAGAATACCGCATACGCCTGTTCTAACTATGAAGGCCCTGTATCCCACAGATATTCTCATGTCATGGAACGGGAGCCAGGAACGAGACTACACCCTTAAACCCCTAAATCTTTAGGCTTCCCAAACCCCAAACCCCTAGCGCCTCACCCTAAACCCAAAACCCTAAACTCAACCAGAAATGCTGAACCCTAAACCCTAATCCCCAAACCCCAAGCCCCTCAAGAAATGCTGAACCCCCAAAACCCCACGAGAGCCCGGAAGGAACTCCAACAAGTCTGCTCCGGCAGAAAACCGCTCGAAGATCGAGCTTGAGTCGGCACCTCAGCAATTGGGAGTTTCCGAAAATTAGGGGTGCCTTGTTTTGGGGTCCTTATAATAAGGATCCTACTATATATGGGCCCCCTATTTTCGGAAACCCCAAATTAAGGCTTAGGGTTTAGGGGTTTTAGGGGTTTCGGGGTTTAGTTGAGTGTTTATGGATTTCAAGGTTTAGGGTTCAAGGTTTAGTGTTTAGGGCTTTCAGGGTTTAGGGTTTAGGGTTCGTAGGGCTCAGGAACCTGGCACAGAGACAGACCTCGCTACCTGTTCAGAGGTATGTATCTTTGCCTTGAAGATCCTTGAAGCTACGGTTACGGCGTGTTCACAGGTAAAGAATTAGACCCTGACACTCCAAAAGCTCAATACAAAGGCAAAAGCTAGCTTGCCTTTCAGGTAGATGTGGAAACGTGTATACTTCATTCTACGGGGTCTTCCACACCCTGAACTTTGATCCTTGTGCCATGCACCCGAACCACAAACTAAAATAACTAAAGCCCAAACCTTAAAGCCTAGACCCTAAATTAAGCATTATAAGCCCTAAACCCTGAAGCCTAAACCTCAAATCATAAGCACCATTAGCCCTAAACCCTGAAGCCTAAACCCGAAATTTTAAGCATTATAATCCCTACACCCAAAAGCCTAAACCCGAAACTATAAGCGTTATAAGCCCTACACCCAAAAGCCTAAACCCGAAATTATAAGCGTTATAAGCCCTACACTTCCCAACAGTCTCGACCCGAAACAACCCCTGAATGTCGGAGTCGAAGCTCAGGTTGCCGAGCCCGGATGGCTTCAGAAACTCCAAGGTTACGAGATCGGGTTTAGGGGCTGAGAGTGGTTTACTGTTTAAGGGGTTTAGGGTGCAGAGTTTAGGAGTTTTAGGGTACTGGGGTTTGGGGGTTTAGGGCTTTTGGGGTTCGGGATAATTGGGTGCTCTGACGGGAGTAAGATTTTGCCAGGGGTTACAAGGGCGTATAGGGCGGTAGGGGTTTAGAGTTTCGGGCTTGGCTTATGTCTGGAATAAAGAGGGGAATCTTCGCATGGGGCAGGCGTATGAAAAGGAGGCCTAGGCGATTTAGATTCCACCCTAAACCCTAAAGGCCTTAAATTTAGAATCTAGAGTTGTTGGCAGATCCTCCTGTTCACTGATCTGCTCCTTGGTCGGTAATCCCAGGACAAGACTTGGGTAGTTCTCTAAATTAGGGCCCCTTTTTCCGTCATAAATGTAGTACGGCACCCTCATAAGAAGGACCCTAAAAGGGCCTAAACCCTAAACCCTAAACCCCTAAACCCTAAACCCCTAAACCCCCCCTAATTTCGAGAACTTCCCACTTCGAAGCCGAACCACCAAAGCCCCGAGCCCGCCCCGAACAGCGCAAACCCGACACCAGAGACTCTGGCAGAGCCACGGTTTAGGGGTTTAGGGTTTAGGGTTTAGGGGTTAGGGGTGTAGGGGTTTGGGGGTTTTGGGGTTT